TCCACGTGGAATATTTTTGAATTCTTGCATAAATTTTGGCTACACGTGTAAGGTCCTAAACATGTAGGGCCCAGTGGGCCCACATTGATTTGTGGGCTGTCATAGATGACGAGGATCCCTGTATCGTGCCCCAATTCGTTTCACCCAATTTTAATAGGAGTACTTACTATACTACTATATTATATATGAGGATTAAATTGAGAAAAATCTTAAAATGTGTTACATCTAATAAAATTTATGGTCCCATTTGATCAGTATTCGTCAATTATGAGTTGTGAATTAATTTGACGGTAGACAAATTTTAGGCAAATTTATAAGATTTTATTGTCAGAAATATATACTAAAATGGAGGATAAATTAAAAAGTTATTTCTTCTATTTTATATTAATTCAGTAGGTGAAGTAATATAGTAGGTGAAGTAATATACATTTATTAAGAAAAATATTTAAGGACATAATTTAAATTCTATTTTTTGTTTTACTAGAGTTCTTTGTGAAATTATAAATGTAATTTTGGAAAAAAAATTTAAACATCCATTTTAAATTTTGAACAATTCAATTATTTTGAATAATGAAAAAGTTCCTTATGTGATTGTTAAAATATAGTGATAATTTTTTTAAATTTATTTCCGTGACTTGTTCTAAATTACAAATTTTAGAAGTCTCCATTTCATTCTTGAACTTCATAAAAAACATAATTTAAAATATTATTTATAAAAAAAAGCATCAATCTTTTTAAGCATATTAAAAGGAAAAATTACTACTAATATAAATTCAACAATTGGGTACAGATGTTGCCAAAAAATCCAAAACGAGTGGGCTCCATTATAATTTTCTTGAATTTGATGATAAAAATCGAGTCAAAACGTACAAGTGAATAGTATTCTGGAATTAAAGAGATTTCACCTACTCCCAACAACGTCTTGTAATAGCCTACCTATTTTTATATCGGTATTAAAGTTTGATTAGTGTGAATTTAATTTGAATTGCATAGAACTCCATTGGAAGTGAAATATTTTTATCAATGGTTTTTATATCTATAAAAATTTAAGAATTCTTGTTAAGTAAGGAGCAGCCTCATTTACTGCACCACATCCTTTAATGGTAACCTTTTAAATAATGTACTCCATCCGTTCAAAATTACAATTGATATGATTCTAAGAATATATTCAATAAATAGGAATAATTTAATAAAATACTTCATAATCTTTTTAATAAGCGTGAAAAACACTAAAAATGACCGTTAAAATGAGACGAAGAAAGTATTGTTTGACAATCGTGACATATAATTGGTGTAGGGATGTGTTTGCAACCAATCACAGTCAAAATATGAAGAAACAAAAATATTTTATTAATTTAGTGTATATAATCCGTTGCTCCTTCGATTCATTTCTTTCAAAAAAATCATGATTTGAGAATTGTTAATAGCATATACATTCTCCATCATAGAATAATTTGAATCTACTTGAGATTATATTTATTTGATCTTCATGTAATATAAACAAGATTTCTTGGATCCTTTTGTAGTACTTATTTGATTGTCAAGAAAGTACAATCACATCTTTATCTCTTTATAAATATCACAAGATTTAAAATAATATATTCTTCACTAACTCTAATTGAAACTGAACTTATATCATAGAGTTTCATAAATTTTCGATGTTTAAGAAATTTTAAAATGATGAGGAGCTAAAACTTTTTACTGTTGTTGTAGGGTTTCCACCGATCGACAAAAGCAAAAGGTGTAATCCAACAAAAAGAAGAGGACCTCGATCGATCGATCAAAGATTTTGCTTCTTAAAAAGTGGAAAACCATACAATGTATCATTTAAGTAAAGCAAGCAACCAACCACACGTGCTCTAACCTTTACTTTTTGATTGATTCATTTTCCCACGCACACAAAAACATACAAAATAAAAAACAAACACTAAACATGAGTTGTAATACAGTAGCGATAATGATTTTGATTCTGTTCAAACAAAGAATAAATTTAACTAAAATTTACAGGTTCCACTCATCTTTGAATGATTTTTTTTTAAAAAAAATATAGAAGAAAAGACAGCTTATGAACAAGACAATTTCATCAATTGACATGGAGTGAAATGACATTAATAAATACAAGCAATTAATATATATATATATATATGTATATATATTCAAATTAAAGTATCCAATGTTTATAAACAAGACAATTTCTTAGTTGGTAATGGCTAGGTAGCTAGTGTGAAATGACATTCAGTACACAAATAAATAATTCAGTAAGACGAACATGGATTGTAATATAGTAGTAGTGAAATTACTTCCAAATATTTTGAATTTGAGCCTTAAATATGGAGAGAATCTTGTTGGAAGCACCATCCTTGAATGAGCTATGTCATACGCAGTTCAAATTTAGCAAAGGCTCTAATGCGGAGAGAAAATAAAAAGAATATAAGTTCAGTAAGAATACAAGAAAAAAAAAAGTATCCAATAATAAGACAAATGTATTTTATTTATTTCTTCTCTCATCCTCTCTTTACACTTTATTCTTTTATAAAAGTGTTACTAATACTAATATATTCTACTACACAAGATCCAACGTAACTATTCATATTTTTGGAACCGTTGTGGTCGACCTAGATAATTTAAAACGTCTACTTTATTTTTTTCTTCTCAATCCAAAATAGGCATATTCAAACTTAAAGTCATTCCACCGTTGATGATGTAAGGACAAATGAGATATATAAAATCCTACTGAGTAAATTAAAGTTTCAATTTTGTCTATGATCGATCATAAAAGAGTCCATTATATTCTCTGGTCACTTATAGTCACTCTTGTCATTGCTCTTTCTTAGGGATGGCAATGGAGTAGGACGGGGCGGTTGCGTAGCAAACTCGCATAGATCCGCAAACATACTAACCCGCCCCGTTCCGCTCCACATAGCAAAAAATGTGTTTTCAATCCGCCCAGCCCCACATAGACCCGCTCCGCTCCACCCTGCATAATTTTTTTTTTCTTAATTGAATTTCACACAACAAATATACATATAGAGAGATCATTGTCTCAATCATGTAGTTGGGGATATAAATTTTTTTTACTTGTTTAATAGAAGGGGTTAGTGAATCTGTGAGTCAAGCTTGTGTTTTATTTGGTTTCTAAATTAATTTTTTGTCAAACACCAAATAATACAATTTCAAGAAAATTATAAGGCTTCATTATAGTGTAGCTTAAGTGTCAAAATATTTGAAAAAAAGCAATGAAAAAGTAACTAAAGAGAGAAGCCTGGACTAACTTATAAATATTGTTCTCAATATTAGAAACTAATTAAGTGAAATTGAGTAGTTGAAATCTTGTAGAATATTTCATTGAAAACTAAATAAATGATTGATATCAATGAAAATATAATTATATAAAACAATGTTAAGTTTTGTAAAATGAACTCCACCAAAAACTTGAAGCAAAAGAAAGTAGAAGAAAGTGACGAGTATATATTGAGAGGGAGTTGTAATTTCCACAACTCACACCCGCCCTGCATCCACCTTACATTTCTTAAAAGAAGTTTCAACCCGCCCCGCCCCGCCCCGGACCGCACCCACATAAAGCCATACCCGCCCCGCCCCGCATAAGGTAAAATCTGCCCCACTCCTCACCCGTCCCATTCCATTGCCATCCCTATTCTTTTTCAAATAAAGTGATAACTAAGTAAATTATCTTCTTATTAATGATTTTCTAATTTACATGTACGAAAAGAGTAGTACTAAAAATATATATGGGATGAATTAAATAAAATAAAGAATTTGGTGGAAAAAAGCGTATAAAATTAGATGGAGAAAAAAATTATTGGGATCTGAAATCAAGCCGCAATCAACGAGATCACTTTCACACAGTAACCGGTTTACCGGTCAAAACTACTGTCTGAATGCGTCGACTACTGTTCCTGCGCCGGTCCTTGTAGTTTGGACCACCATGCATTAAACACCCATTTCGTACCATTTTATTAGATTTTTCCTAAAATAAAAATTAACATAGTTAAATTTGTGATAATTATTTTAAAGTATAATTATTAAAGTATATTGTTAAAAAACAATTCTCTCGTCCCATGTTTTAATTGTCGTTTTTAACTCTTTTCACATATAGTGAAAAAATAATATATACAACATATAATTTAGAGAAAAAGAACAAATAAATTACGGACTATCGTAAATAGTATGGAAATATCCTCCGTCATACTTTTGGGATATTGGTGCCCCTGTCGTCTAATAACTAGAGCATATATGTCCTTTACTCTAACAGAAGACTAAATAGGGACACGTGGCGCAATTTTATTCGTTGATCCGATGTATAATAAATGTCGGATCGATGAATAAGATTATGACACGTGTGTGTCTGTTATTATAAAGGGTATATATGCTCTAGTTTTTGGACGACTAGGACATCAATATCCCAAAAATATGACGGAGGGTATCTCCATACCATTTACGATAGTTCGGAGGTATATTTGTCATTTTTCCCTATAATTTATAGTAGATATTTTTTGAAAATTAACAGGTTAAGGTGATTCATTCGCTTTAACGAATATGTACAAGGTTGAAGTTATTTTAGTAAGTGTTTTAAACTCCTTAATAAAATTCCAACGGAATCATAAGTGATTTAATTTTATATAAATTTGTATTATAGTAAGCATACATAAACATAATAGAATGCACAATGTAAACGCTTAAGAATTTAGTTTATGGAAATAGACCAATTGATCAAATCATATAATAATATTTTATTTTTAGTATATATTTTTATTATCTAATATATCACTCATGATTTGCAAAATAAAAATAAAAATACATAAAGTCGGCGACTTATGACCGGCGGAATCGGGTCAATGTTAGTGTCCACTTTCACACAATCCCCCAATCCATATCTCGCACAGCACCGCTGAGTTTGTGTGTTGTGTTCTCACTATTATATATAACTTTGTCTAACTACATATACATCTCTCTTCTCTCTTCCTTATAATTATTTTCTTATCCATTAATGAAAATGGAAAGCTACAAAGACATTAAAATGGAAGATCATCACCCAATGTATTTCATTGACAATAACAATTTTGGAGTTACTAACCATTCATTAATCTCAGATTACAACATAAACACATCGTCTTTGGGTTTCATGGAGTTATTGGGTTTTCATCAAGACTTTTATTCATCAGCTTCAGCTTTTGAGTTACCAAAAGAAGAAAACTACTGTCCTGCAGTTTGTGTATCTGAAGAAGAAGAAGTAAAGCCATCATCTGTAGTGCCTGAGAACCAAATAATTAGTAGTACTACTGTAGCTACAGGTAACGTATTGAATACGCCATCTACCCCTAATTGCTCCTCCATTTCCTCTGAAGGACATGGAGATGCAGATGGAGAAGTAGAAAATCATGAGCAACAAAACACAAAGACTAAACAACAGTATGTTCACATTACTTTTTACCACTTTAGTTCTTTTTTTTTTTTTTGCGCGCGCGGTGAAAAAATAGTAGCTTAGTTGATTGATTATCTGAACTTTTCACTTTATCAGTAAGCTTCAATTTTCCCCAATTTTATCAGTCAATTTACTAGTTACTGTTGTTTACCCTTTTTTGGGGGGTTTGTGACAGGTTGAAAGCGAAGAAAACAGTTAGTCAGAAGAAGCAGAAAGAGCCGAGATTTGCGTTTATGACAAAGAGTGAGGTTGATTTTCTTGAAGATGGTTATAGATGGAGAAAATACGGACAAAAAGCTGTTAAAAACAGTCCTTTCCCCAGGTACTCTTGCTCTATAATTCTAACAATAAATCTCTGATAGCAACAACAATATATTCAGTGTGCTTTTATATAAATGGACTAATGAAGAAGATGATATGTATGCAACTTTATCATTACCTTGCGAAGAAATTCGCAATTATTATACTGAATAATGCAGAAGAGATCGAACTTTGTTTTCCAAAGGCTATCCAATAGTATATAATTAGTTTGTAGCATTTTTGCATGACCGATCGATGGCCGGCCCCTGTAAAAATAAGTACTTTAACAAACAAGTTGCAAAAAGGAAAAGAAAAAGAAAAAGAGTGCCTTTTATATTAACATCAATAGTTTATCCTTAAACATATTGTAGTTATTAATTATCATGTCATATATTTATGATCTTTAGTGGAGTTGTACCTAATTTGAAAATGTGAAGTTTTATTTTGTTCATACGTCTTTTCCCCTTTTTCTGCTTTTCCATTTTCCTATTTGAATACTTGCAAGTGAGACTAGCTTGAGCTTCTAGCCTAGATGTAGAATTGTACATAACACTTCACATGATGCTTGATTCTTTCTTTAATTTGTAGTTATTGAGGCTATTGCTATTTTAAAAAAAACAATTAAACAGAGTTTTCTTTTTTTTGGTTTTCATTTGTGTTTAGCCACTTCTCTAATGTGAATATTTTTTTATCGTTCGTAATTCAACCTTCGATAGCTCTGACCAAATTAAATATTGTTTCATTGTAATAAATATTTCCAATTGTGGGTAACTTGTAAGCTGCTCCTTGCCTGCTATAGGTTTTAAAAAAGAAAAAGAAAAAAGAAAGAAATGCTTGACTATATTGGGGAACCAAAAGATACTTCATTTGGAGATAATCCAATAGGCATATTGTATATATTTGCCAGTCATTTATGTTGGTACTTCCAAAAGCTAGAACAAAAAGTTGTATGATAAAAATACATGCATGAATTTCATCTTTACATAAGTCTAAGGCCTCTTATTACAATTTAGCTTTAGGACTACCCATGTTGTTAAGCCACTCTAACACTAGTGCTATTGTTGCAGGAACTATTATCGCTGCACAAATGCAACATGTAATGTAAAGAAGAGAGTAGAGCGATGTTTCAGTGACCCAAGCATAGTGGTGACTACCTACGAAGGAAAACATACTCATCCAAGTCCCATGAATATGATGATGTCCCGTCCTAACTGCTATCCAATAAATCCACTACTCCCTTCACCTGGAACCTTCACTCTGCCAATGCAGTTCAACATCAATCAGTCCTTCAACAACTTAACGAGTTCTAATTTAGCCATGAATAATCAGCTTGATCATGCTGCTTTTGCTGCTCAAGGAAGGCGTTTTTGCAGTAATACCGAAATGCTGGGAGATCAGGGGATTGATCTCCAGGATCTTATGCCTTCCGCGGTGCTAAAACACGAGTACAACAGATGATGATGGATGTATATAGAGGATATATATAGTCGATCAGTTAAATAATTATAAGTATATGCATTATATTACTTTGTTATAATTAGCTAGTGGTACTCTTATCGCATTTCTAATATATTCATACCGGAAATCTCATGGTCTAACATTGACATTTTCGGATCCTCTATGCATGTGTATACTTTTCTACAATTCTACTTCGATAGTAGTCCTTCCGTTTCACTTTGTTTAGTACTACTTTTTAATTTCTTGTTACTTTTGATTGTTTCACTTTGTTTAGTACTACTTTTTAATTTCTTGTTACTTTTGATTCTATCAAAAAGAATGATATAATTCTATATTTTTTAAGCACGTTACATGCATCTTTACCTAGGGAATTAATGTTGTGCTTAATGATCACAAGCTTAAGGAATATCTATCACCATAGTGGACGTTCATTAAATAATTTATAACATTGCGTTTGTTTAGTGGGTATGTTAAGAGGGAGAAACCACCTTTGGGACATAAATGGGACATTTTGCGATGCATCGAAAATAATAAATAATTAAACTTATCTACATAATGTGAAGAGTTTTGTTGTATTAATCTTTATAACATACCATTTATCTTATCTTATGTACTTTTAAGTATGAAAGTGTCACTTTTTATGAAGGGTAAATGTAGATATATCTTATGGTAATCTAATAGTATAAATTTCTTTTTCTTATATCTATCTATGTATATAAGCTAAAACTCGTTCGTTACATGACAAATAAAATAAAAATAAAAACATATATAGAATTTTATAGTTTCCTCTTGCACTTTGGAAGTTGTAATATCAGCAGCCAAATCCAGTAGGCCCAAGCTCATTTCTACACGAGTTTTTTCATTCACAAAAAGAATATACTAAAAGAATTCATTGGATTTGGAGTTGAATTACGATTAAGATTGGGCTAAAGTAGAAGAGACAGACACATCATGACCTAAAGTGCCTAACATGCTCCATAGAGATGTCCATTAAAAGCCCAACACTTGTAGTCTCCAGCGTTTGATCTGAAAATTGCGTGAACTTGATCTAAAACGGACAATACCACTATATTAAAAATATATTGAACTATCTTAATCGATCGATACCAAAAAAAAACGGAAAAGAGAAGAAAATAAGGTCAATTGCATATATAAGTGAAATGAAAATACTACTCCTTAATTAATTATAATTAAGTCAATTTTTCACACATTAAAAGAGAATTATAATATAATGAGAATGACCAAGCTCCGACAAACACCGAGCTGGCTTGACATCACTAATTTTTCACATGTAAAAATACGATACTTGAACTTAATTTAACCTTAAAGGTCGAAAACTAGCTGATGAGAGAAAGATTGTCCATTTCAAACAAGTAGACCATCAATTCATTCTCCAACTAATTGGGACTCTTACCGCATACCTCTAAGTGCACTTGCTATATCTAATCTTTCCCAAAGAAACATTAATCAAGAAGATGATCAAATATTCTATTGAGTAATCATAAAATAAAAAATAGAATGTCTTTTTTTTTTGGATTTAATGATTCATCCCTAGTTAATCAATTAATTAATATCAGGAGTTGATAACACATTAACAATCATCTTCATGACCTTAACTTTCATTTCTAAAGCCCAAATATAATCAGCTGCCTCTCTAAATATCCTCTCCAACCCCATTGATGATGATAATGATTCACAATTTGGAATCAACTTCTCCAACATCTTAACCTTCTTTTCAACCTCATTACTCGATCTTCTAGAACGTTCTACACGTACCCTTCTCTTCATGATACGCGCTCCTTTATGTTTCTTGCATAGCCATGAACATGATCTCCTTCTAGTGTATACACTTTTTTCTAAAACTTTTGTCCACAAAGGATCACTTAAGTCACATTTGTTAAGAAACTCAAGAGAAGAAAGCAATGGTTGGTGAGAAATAATACCCATGATAAGCAATAATAAAGATGGTTTGTGTTGTGATAAAGTGTTATAAAAAAAATAATGTCCTTTGCCAACTTGAATGGTCAAGAGGAAAAAAGAAAGTACAAGTTGTAGCTAAGATATCATGTTGTCAAGAGATGGTGTGTTTGATTTATAGTAAGGAATTGTAGGTCATTAGCCAATAGAGGATAATATGAAATATTAATTTAGAGCCGCAAAGTTGCCATCATCCAACTAATTTATGAGTAATATATATGTCATCCTACACATTTAAATAAGAGGTGAATTCAGAATTTAAAATTAATTGATTCGATAAACTAGAGATTGCTTAAATGACAAGTATGCTTTATCACTAAAAAAGCAAAACGATGGAAGTTGTAGGGAGGGGTGAAAAAAATGTATTAGTTCAGCCTAGCTTTAGTTTGTTTTTATTGTTGAAGTACTAATATGTACTGAATGCATTATATTTGTGAAATTATCTTCAAAATTTAAACAGTATTTTACGTATAAAATATTGAATTCAGTTAATCCTAAAATTAATTATGGCCGCATGATCTGCTAGAAAAATGGGATAATATGATCCATGATGAAGATGTGACGAGTGTAAATTACTTATTGCCCATTTCAATTTGTTTGACTTAATTTAATACAAAATTAAAAAAATAAAACGAGATTTTTGAATCTTGTCATCTAAAATTAAAGATATGCCAAACTCATCAAAATTTCCTTTAATTTTGTGGTCTTAAACATGTCATATGAAAATTTGAAATTAAAGAGTTGCTAAAAAAAAGGAAAGGTCATCTTTTTTAAATAGAATACAAGAGCCCGTTTGGATTGGCTTAAAAAATTAGGTTTTAAGTTGAAAATAAAAAAAATCAAACTTAAATGACTTTTAAGTCAAAAAATAAAAGGTAGAGGAAGACCTACTTTTGGTTTTTAACTTATTTTAAGTTATTTTTAACCTTCTCAAACACTTCCTAACTTATTTTAAGTCATTTTTTAAACTTATTTTAAGTTATTTTATATATTGCCAAACACTTTCAGAAGTCAAAAATTGACTTAAAAGTAAGTTTGATCAACTTTTAAGCCCATCCAAACACCCCTCAAAAGAAAAGTAAGTCAAATAAATTGAAACGGAAGTATAATCATATTTATATTTATATTTATAATATTATATAGATATAGAAGTGGAAGAGTGGTTATTTATGCATTTAAGGTTTAGGAGTGCATGTTCTCCAACTCAATGCACATGCATTCACATGATTCTTTTTCACTATCCATTCCTTCAAAACCAACCACATTTCTTCATAGGAACTACTACTCTTAATTCTCCCCCTCTATAGCTACTATAGGTCCCTACCACAACTAACAATGAACACATAATTTGATGAGAACACCCTGGATTATTCCTTAATAAAACTCACTTTCCAAATTCATTGCACACTCCATACTTCTAATTATATCTTAATTGTCCAGCTCATTGGTAGTGGCACTGTGGCACATTACATGCCACTCACTTTTTTTTTTTGTTTGTGAGGATGAAAAGGGGGCTGGATGTTTCCTTGCAGGAGGCTAATACTACTTGTTTAAACATATTTTTGACAACAAACATAACCTCCAAATTTATACCATAATTTTAAGAAGACACTTTAACGTTGCTAGGATTTTATTAACCCCATTGAATCAATTCCAACTATAATATAATTAACATCCCTTTTTTCGACTAATCTAAGTTATGGGAAACTTACAGAAATCTTATCAGTTTGGAGCTAATTATTTAATTAGTTACACTTTTATTTGCAACATTACGAAATTTATAAAATTTTGGTGCATCTAGATATATATGTCTAGATACATGTATCTCGGGATATATGTGGTCAAAATTAAGTGTAATTTGTTCAAGATATATTGTATCCAAATGCATTCACATGTATATGAGATATATAGACAGATCTCACTCGCCTCTTTTGCCTCTCTCCCATCTCGCTCGCCACTCTCCTAGTATCCTTTGTATCTGGCAGCCATATACATGTGAATCAACCAAATACATACATATCATCTAGCTCGTCTCTCTCTATTTTAATGTATCTGTAGCAAAAATACATGTATCTAACTGTATCTTTCACATTATATGATAAGAAATTCTTAATTAGTGGTAAGATACATAATTACTTAAAAGTCTAGTAGAATTGGTATATATGATATGGATATATGTCTAATAAGATAATTTTTTCAATTTTAATTGCTTCACGAGTCATCAATCTTATCCGAAATTATATGTGGTAAAGTTGTTTTGTGAATGAACAAAACATGTCATTTTGAAAATTATTGGAGACTTTTGATTGATCCTTGTTTTTATTGAGAGTTGCCACATCATTTTGTTGGTCTTGAATTGGCTTAAGTCATATGCGTTTTCTTAAAATTGTCCGCATATTTCACTTAGACACCTCAATTTATGTTTGTACCTATTGAACATCTTATATGTTCAAAAATGATTTCAATTAGACACAAAATGATGACCCGGCAAAAATGTGTATTCCACTCTTTAAGGACGTATAGACATTAAAAATTTACATTTTTTCTTTTCGTTTTCCACTTATACACTTAAATTAATAGATAATATAATAATAATAATTAATAAACAAAAAAAAATCTTGTGCAAGATGTAACTGTTCATCATCTCTCTCAACCCTCTTCAATTCTTCTCGTGTTTTTTCTTTCTTCTTTTTCTATGATAATTTAATTAAAATCTCAATTATTTACGCAAAACTCTATTATTTATAATATTTCAGTGAAGCAATTGACTATTTTTTCGTAAAAATCCATTATTTTTTTTTGTATTATGATAAATGATTACTAGTGGAAAGAAGATGAAGACAATGGGTGGAAGGTTTTAATGCTATTAGCATGAAATGTAAATGAAGGGTTAGCTTAGATGGACAATAATGATATATTATCGGCGCCGGTAAAAGTGATTAAATTCAATGAAGAAGAATTAAGAAAGGGATGGAGGCGCAGAAGCCTGAAAAGGGAACGGAGAAGAAGAAGAAGCAGCGTGGATGTGATGGTTTACTGGCGGACCACGTAAATTAATGGACAGGAAAATAAGTTACGATGGAGAAGAAGAAGAAGAAAGGTGGGTGAGGTGGGGTGGAGTGGGTTAATTTAAAAAATAATTCGTTGTTTTCTTAATATTGCTTTTTAATTATTTCTAAATAGAGTTATTTAATAAATTAA